AGCTGAACTGAACTGAATTGATTGAAGCTGAATTGAGTTGAACTGAACTGAATTGATTGGAGCTGAATTGAATTGAATTGATTGGAGCTAAAATGAACTGAATAGAGCTAAAATGAATATTTTATGAGAGAATGAAATTAGAAGTTGAACTGAATTGAACTGATTGAAGTTGAACTGAACTAAATTGAATTGATTGGAGCTGAACTGAACTGAAATTAAGTTAAAGTAAACAGACCCTAAATTAACAAGTTATACTATATAGTGAGCAAAATAAATTAATGATCATCTCTACTACAATACTAATTAGAAAACATAAAGTACAAATTTCAAACGAATAAAATTGAAGGAGACAAAATTGAGAGCCAATAGTGTCCGAAATTATTCTTCAACGAGTAAAGTTTTTCAAACTTGGACATTACTTACACAAGCGAGTGCAAGATCAAGAAGGTTGAGCCGCCGGCAAGGCAGCAAGGAAGTCGAGCCAAATTTCTGCAGATAAGGCTTTATCGACGAACCTTAGGTCTTGCACTTGTAAGCGTTGTGTAATAGAATGTCCTTGACGCTCAAGAAGAAAGGAAAGAAAAGAAGCAAAGAGAAAGAAAGAGCATATAACAAGAGAAAGAAGACCAAAAAACTCTAGTCTTCTTCATATTTCTCCCAAACAAAACAATGTTAAAGAAAAATGCTTTCGGCCTGATTCTTATTTCTATACAAATGCTCTAGTATATGGAATCACACTCGAATACACATTATTTGTACTTCATGTTGAAAAGAATAAAACAGCCTACAAAAGAATGAAATAGCCCTCAACATGACATTAAGAGAGCGAGAAAGGGAGAAAATCAGAAGGGGGGAAGTGCATGATCTTAAAAACTTCTTACAAATTGGCTATCCGCAAGATGCAACATCCTTGATCATTAACCCCCAAAGAAGGTTGAAACATCCTTGATTTCAGGCTAAATGCCTGAGCACTTTCCCAATATACCAAGTTGTCAGTTTTAACCTCCTCCAAATTGATCCCGCAGCATCTCGTACTTCCGGAGCTCTGCTAGGGAGAGAGATGGAGGTAATTCTGCTAAGACCTGCCAAAGTAATGAAAGGCCATACAAACAGACAGCAGACTCAGTTTAGTCAATTAGGCAATTAGCTCAAAATGACATACAAAGATGTTCAATGAAAATCTGATTTTCACCTCCCCCCTCTCCTCAATAATATCCTTCAGGTAATATAAAAACAATAAGTGGCAAACTTACAACTAAAAAAGGCAAGAGAGCAAAAGAGAAAATTCACAAACCTACCACATATATGCAATACTAGAATCTAATAAAATGGTCTTGATTTTCTTTTCAAAAACTAAGGCCATAATTAAGGTTAGCAGTAAGATTGACATTCAGAGAAGAGGTCGCTCAAAAATACAAAAGAGGGAGGGGGTAGATTTGAGATGAGTTTGGGAAATGGTTATAATGTATCCATCCCTGATAGTTTATTTGCTCATAAAAACTTTTAATTACTACTGCGTAGATCATTATTCTATAGCATTTAAGTGTCAACTATTGGAGAGGAAAAAGAGTAGAGATATCAAGGAAATTTCATGTTTTTCCTTGTCCAACATTATCTGGAAACATTAAGAAATCATTCTGCTCAAACTATAAGCAATGTTGACAAAGAAAATACGTATGTAATATTTATTACATAATAAAATTCTGCAAGTCTTCAAGCAGGCACATGATATGAAATGTGATGAAATAGCAATTTTTATAAAATAAAATAAATATAATATGATAAGAATAGAAATTCATTTAGTACGAGAATAAGAAATGAAAATTTTGGGACCAGAAATCTATGTCAAGGCATAAGGGAAAAGTACTTCAATCTCACAATGCATCAAAAAGAGATTTCAAGAAATGCCTTCATGAGCAGAGCCCAAAAGGGAAGCTAGATACACCACTCACTTCAACAAAGTAACCCAAAGAAGACTCCCAGAGTCCCAGCCATGGAAAATCATACTCCACCTGATTTTTTAAAAATTACTTCACTGTTACTTTTTTCATTTTTCACAAAACTCACTTTCACCATTAAATATATTATTGATCAAAGTTGTGTGTCGGCAAACAATCAAAGTGGAACCGAAAAAAAATTGGGAGTATCATTCTTCTCCAAGCAACCACACCATGGAAACAAAAAGCAACCTGATGCGGAATCTAATGCCTTTTTTTCCTTCTGAAATTTCTTATACTGCTGTAAAAGATCCTGAAGAGTAAAATGGGATGCCCAATGCCAAAGAATCATCAGCATGTGACATACAAAGTCAAATGATTCCATGTCTCCTCAGTAGCAAGACATATAGAACACGTGAGGGGATGTAGGCTAGTGTGGTTTTCAAGAATGCAAAATCACAAGGTTAAGTTAACCCAACCAAGAATTTCAGCAACTCAGACAAAAGTTTTAATCCCAGCCTTCTCTGCGGTACCATATATATATGTTCATTTAACTACTGAAAAGGATTGAGATTTGGCTATTAAGGTACATGTAGAATAAACGACAGGTAAAAGATCCTGAACATTCAGTCAGCCAAACTCTCTAAGCACTGAGTCTAACAAAGAAACGATTGCAATGATTTTTAACTAGTAGGTCCCAAACTCCCTATCATGAGGGTTCTCGACAAATTAAAAATTACAAGAAAAATATCACCAATACTCACTCAAATAAAATAAGTGGGAGTATGAAGTCAAGTGCACAACCTATAGGGAGAGAAAATGATACTAAAAGGCTGCTCCCCTACACAAGCACCCTCCAACATAAATATAATTCTCTCTCCATTATGTACCTTGCATACAACCAAGAGAGTAGAAAGCGATATATGTGAAATGAATTTCCAGGGGCTAGTATGTAGAACCTGAAACCTGAACACATCCTAGGCATTTTATTCAAGACCATAGCACCATACCTACTCAATAATTCCAAATCACTCTATGCCCAGAAGAAAATGCCAAAACCACTGCCCCACATAAAGATGTTAAGGAACCAATGAGATTGAACATGGATAGTAACCAACCCATCCTTTAATCAGGGAGAAATTGCAAATTAAATGGAGGTGGAATCAATGAAGATTATGGAACAGTATAATCTTCAATAACCAATAAATCAGTGTGAAATATTAAGTTGACTTAACACAATAACTGACAGATAGTGACCAAAACCTAATTGATGAGTGGTAAAAAAGTGAACGCCTACACACGTGAACACACTTTACATAAGCCCGAGAACATTTGCATGGTTGATAGAGCATACCTCTAGTCTTCTAATCAAGGATTAAGGAAGAAGTTGGTATATACTCCCTCCATCCCATAATATAGTTCCTATTTTCCTATTTTGGAGATTCAAAATGTTGTTCCTATTTCAATTTTTGGATGGTATGTAAAGACCATTATACCCTAACTTTTTTAACTTTATTCATTGTACTTCTAATTTACCCTAGAATTTTGCACATATCTTGTAATTTTTTCCACTTTATCTCTCTAACTTTTGTCTATGATTGTACTTTTCACTTTTATTAATGTATTTCATCCACTTTCTCCTCCTATTTTTTAAATACCGTGAAAAAACACAAACATGAACTATATTATGGGACAGAGGGCATATAAAAATTAAAACTTTGTATTTTTATCTTTATGGGGATTTGGTTTGTTTGAAGAAAATAACCTACAAAAATGAGTAAGGATTAAACTCCAATATCCCCCCTACACGATTCAAAAGAACAAAGGATTTGACACGCAAAGAATTTTGAGCAACGGACTTGTACGCATGTCTTACATTCATGTTAGGTGGATTTCTCCTTGAACCTTTCATGATATTAGTAAAACACATTAGCACACTAAACTTTGACAAATCAAGATGTGTTCTCACAATTTGTAGTTTATTGCCCACCATTTTCCAGGACATGTACAATTTAGGGGGTCCCAAGCATAAGGACACTCATAGGACATTAGTTGTACTGGCTTCGACCACGTTCACATAGATAAGTTTATCAACTTTGTACTGGCTTCGACCATTTCAATAGGTTATAAATAGGTCACTATATCACTAAGAATAGTAGTAGTATGCAAAATTGAGTCTGTTATGTGATTTGGTTTGACCCTGTGAATCTAGACATTCCTAATTTAGACTCATTCCGTATGCTAACTATAGCACTAATTTTCTACAAAGGCCTTCGGTATTTTGAATCATGTTGGGGAAAGGCAGGAATTAATTCCTCGTTCTTTGATAGAATTCCTAGTTAATTTTGCTTCAAAAGAAACAATTGTCGCATACAGACAACATACAAAGCTTTTAGTCTTTTACCCACATTACATGTCAATTTTAACTTCCTTGTAACCCTTGATTAAAATAGTAAAAAGTACGCTGCTCTAAAAAAAAAGTAAAAAGTAGGCTCTACCAATCATGCACGCATACTCCTAATCTACCCCATGTATGTTACTTTAAAAAAAAAAAAAAAAAAATCAAGCACATATACGGCCATGGGTGGGCTCGGGCGTATGGTTCAGTGCATTGGTGGGTGTTTATTTATACTATTGCATAACATCAACATAATATCTTAGACTAATTTGTTCGCTAATGAACTTAATATTGTGTCATGATTTTCACCGATTCTTGCCTCCATTTACTTAGCCACTACCCCCTAATTAGAAATTACAAGTTGGGTTGATTATCTACCGTATTCAATCTCATTAGTTCCTGTCTATATATGACAGCAGAAAACAGAAAATTTTATCACTCTTTCTTCTTAGAAAATACTCCCTCCGTCCCCTTTTGATAGTCCCTTATGGGCATTTTTCACGGGAATTAATAAACACAAAAAAGAATAGTTAAAGTACATTGAAAAAGTAAATTGACATTGGGTATGCAAAAAAGTAGAGAGAGAAAGTAATAAAAGTACATGGGAAAACAAAATTTACATGGGAAAGTTAAATTTGACAAATATTGTTGCAAATTGGAGGTAATTTTGGTAAAAAATTAATATTAATAGTTGTTGGAAAAAGCAAATGGGGTGAACATTTTGGGACTAAAATTTGTCCATAAGGGACTATCAAAAGGGGACGGACGGAGTACAAAACACATTTTTTGTTTTGGTCTATGATCACAATGTTCTTCATGTATCTCTTTGTACTACGCCAACGAGGTAGAGGTTGTGTATCCTTAGAAGTTTATTGCTAAGAAGCCGAGGGGCAATTATAATTTTCAAAAGCAAAATAAACTTGGAGTTTTATCAAACATAAAGGACTTTTATTCCAACACATCCTCCTAAAACATGCTGCCATTCCCTGAGTTTGTGGTTCCATTCATCAACCTAACTCACCAAAATATCCAAAAGTCCCATCTTCCAAACATTTTGGGGCCCAGGTTAGCTTTGGAGGTGGTATGGCAGATTTTTCTCGATAGGGTACTCTGTTTTCCAGCAGCTACCACCTTCCCCGAAATGTTATGTGGTGACAGGTGGACGAGGCGGTCCTACTTTTCAAACTTGAAGAGAATATCTCATGTTTGTAACTGGTTTTTTTAAAGCAGCTTCTTGTTAGTTGTTACAGCCATTTGATAGCCTAGCCATTCAATATAAAACATGCAAGTGGTACTTTAGATGTCATATCCCCCATTTAAAAGAAAAAATAAAAATAAATAAAATCAAGATCAAATAACAAAGCCTTTGTTAAGTCAAAGCAGAGTTAGCAGCATAGTTTTTGAACTTCAATGCAGCTATCCAAAATATCTTTATTTCCATTACGAAAACTTATACTGTGGACGTATCTCCTACCTTAATGAAATCCTCATATTCCACAGCAATGGAGTCCATTTGGCTATTGTCACTGGTTGGATCTGAAGCTGAACTCAAGACCTGCAAAGAGAAGAATAAGAAATTGATAGCAATTTAAGCATCTACCATGAACCCACTCAGAAGGCTAGAACAAGCCACATTGTAAAGTTTCCAAAAAACAGTCCACCAGAGTAAACTACAACACATCATCTACCTGCCGTTTTGCAGCATGAAACCAAGCATCTGCACACAAGGCATACATATCTGCACCAGTAAAATTTGGCGGGCATCTTTTTGCAATCGAGTAAAGAGAGACATCTTCATGCAGTTGAAATTTCCGGGTGAGTGCTTTAAGGACTCTGCATGATGAAATAATGGAATATTCAGTGATAAACTGATAATGCAAGAAAAATAATGATAATAATACGAGTAAAAAAGATGGCCCACTAACCGCTCTCTATAAGATGGATCAGAATTAACCCCAACATAGAGAAGCTTGTCAAATCGGCCAGGCCTCAGGAGTGCTGGGTCAATAAGATCAGGACGATTGCTTGCCCCAATTACAAACAAGTCCTTGTGAAACAGAATGCAAAGGAAAATAATAACATTAGACTTGGAGCATAACAAAGAAAAGACTTTACAACTTGAGAATTGAAAAAACATAGATAGTCATGATATGTAAGATGTGAAAGGAACCTGAGTAGAATCACTGAGGCCATCAATCTCAGCTAGCATCTAGCACAAACAAACATATTTTGTAATAAATGTCGTGTCAAACTAAGAACTAATCAGCATTAGCTACAACTTACAATCAAACTTTGTCCAATTCCTCACCTGAGAAACAACTCTGTCCATAACTCCCCCAGAATCACCGGAAGCACCTCGAGCTGGGGCAAGTGAATCAAGTTCATCGAAAAAAATGACACATGGGCGTGCTGACCTAGCCTGCCACACGATCAAGTTCACTTATTGATTCAAACAAGCAACATAAAACAGAGGTACAAGGTTACAGCACTTCACCTTTTGAAAAATGTCTCGCACATTTTTCTCAGACTCCCCTATGTACATATTGATTAATTCAGGTCCTTTTACGCTTAGGAAATTTAGAGAGCATTCTGTCGCTACAGCTTTTGCCAACAGAGTCTGAGTTTAGTCATGAAATGACAATCAGAAGATATAAACATATGCTCATGATTTCATGAAGAAAAAACAAAATTTAAGCATTTACCTTTCCAGTGCCTGGAGGACCATAAAGAAGAACCCCAGAACGTTTACGCAACCCAGATGAAAACAAATCCTTGTGTAACAGAGGTAGCTATAAACAAATAATGCAAGTTAGAAAACTTCCAACCAAGAACAACGTCAAGCAAACCAATAACAGTGAATGCTCTAAGGCTCATGACACCTAGTAAGCAATGAGATCGAAAATACTGAAGCCAAAGCCAAAAACACCATATGAGCTTTGCATAAATTCTTAAATTTGTCACCCCTTGAATTTAAAGTTAAGACCATAATTATGCCAAATGCCGCCCAGCACCTACAAATTCAAGGTTTTCAAGCACACACAGTAGTAGCAAATTGTCCACCACAATAATTGCATCACAGAAATACGTAACACCAGGAAAAGTATCCAAATGTATAGCACCAAATCAACAATTAGAACTAGAAAACCAATGAACATGATAAACAAAAATATAATAAGACCATCAAGACACGACTAAGGGTGCATATCATTCACCTAATTTTCACTTATCAGAACTTAGAACATTATCACATATCGAATCTGAACTTAAGAGAACTTATCAAATCTTATTATAACTCAGGGGGTGTTTGGTATAGTAATATTAGATGTAGGAAACGGATTCAAATAAGTGTTTCCATTTCTAGCTGTTTGGTATGAGTTAAAGTAACAGATGCCGTTTTGCAGGGTAATAAAATCCCCCAATTTGTTACCCTTGGCAAACTAGTGAAAACAAAATACGTTTCCTTAATCACAATTTACTCAAATTATTTCCATTCCATTAGGATACCAAACATATAGTAAAGCTACATACTTACACTTATCATTATCCTCCCCCCATTTATTTAATCCTTTCCATTCCACTCACGGTGTTTATACCAAACACACCCTTAGTTGTAATAGACCTTTGGTAGCCCTTATTCACCCATATCAACTTATTTTTCCTAAACATATCTTATTTGACCTTATTAACCCTTGTCTTGACATAGTCTAATTTTTTTACCAGAAATAAGTGCCAATAAAGTGAACCAAATAGGGCCTATAATAAACCTCTAGAAAAATGCAAAAGCCTTGATGAAGAAGGATCACAACAAAAATTCAGAAATATCTTCCAAATCAACTCAACCCCAATAAAAATTTAAAACTATCATCAAGCCAAAAATTTGTAGAATCTAATTCCAAATTACTATAAAAACACATACAAGCACACCATTGCAACAGTTATAACACACTATAACCAATAGTCACACTCCATCCAGCCATCCCGACTAGAGCAAACAAAACAATCTAGAGTCAGCCACACATAAAATAATATTGACAACATTGACATAATTGTAGTATTTCCATTCTAATTTAGTACTCATAAATTAAAGCTAGGCACAAAATCATAACATAAGTAGCCCGCAATCGAGAATTATAGAGTATAGACTCTAATATGTAATTATGTATCCATGGATCTAATATAGGAAAAAATAAAGCAAGAGCATGGAAGCATGGCTAAAAAGCTTCTAAAATTTAGATATATAACAATACAGTAGCAATAAAAAGCTATAAAAGTACATCAATCAAGCCCCAAGGGTCAATTAGACCACAAGTGATTGTTATTCTTCTTTTTTCACTATTTTCGCTGACTTCTAAACTAATACTCACTCAACTCAACCCCAATGACTTCAACTACACATGCATACGCACCATAATAACAATAATCACACTCATTACAAACATACCCGTCTGTTACACCCATTTTTTAATCTGGCCAGCTCATACTCTTTAATAAGAGTAGGCCTATACCATTAGCAAAATCAAACCCATCAAACCCAACAAGTCACAGATTTCATAGTCCAAAAATCAATTCTGGGGCCAGAAAGCAACTGGAGAAAGTGAGGTTATTTTCAACTATTATAAACAATCCAAAGGCAATTTTTCGGAGGAGAAAATATGGAAATTACAAAAGAATAGTGGAAATAGTTATTCACTTATAATAAAAGCGGGGAGAATAAATAACCATCAAACTACTTTGTCTGAGTAGTATAAATAGAAGAAGGCAACAACCAGCAAAGAATATCAATCAAAACATCAAACATAGATATAAGATATAAGTACTAGTTGCTCTTAGTCTTTAGCCTCTAGGCTAGAATGCTAGATTACATTAGTCTTAGCTTACACTCTTTAATAGATAGGGTGTCAATTGCTTTTTGGAAATTTCTTGCCCCAATGCCGTCAAAGCAAGCCAATACAAACTAAAATCAACCACATGCAAAAACGATTTAGTAATGACAATATACACTATTAGTGATTCTTTAAAAACTTTATGAAAAATTAACAAGAATAATCCAAACTTATAGCGTTCTTCTGATTTTAATCTCAACTATCTTCTACCTTGGATTAATTTCCATTTATAAGGTTGAGCAAAACTATTGAAAATCCGATCCGGATCTGATCCAAAAATTATTGATATCCTATCCAACTCTTGGATTTAGGATATCTGATATCTGAATGATATCCGGGAAAAAAAAAATAGTGATCTGATTTCTAACGGAGTACAGTTCAAAATTGTGAAATACACCAAACCCTATATTCTTTTTCTTTAACCTACCAAGCCCCACGGCCCCCACCCCACCTCTCTTTCTCGGATCTCAATTTCTCACTCTCTCTCCTGTCACTTTCTCTCTCCTCTCTAACTTCGTCTTTAACTTTCTCTCTCCACTTATCATCTCAAAATCTCAATTTGCAATCTCATGCCCTCATATCTCCTTCACCGGCACCGACCACCAACTCACCTACCTTAGTGAGCTCTCTTAGTGTATCATATCTCCTCCAACAGCTCATGCTAACCAACCTCCACCGGCCGGCTCAAGCTTTACCGATCACCAAACCCACTGTCGTCTCTAAGTTTGTATCAACTGTTGGAACACTTTTATACTATTTTTCAATTATTTTCTTCATTTTGTTTTAAATGATTCTTTAGGTATATAATTAGTCATACAGTATTGTGGGTTATTTGATAATTGATTATGATTTAAGGGATTTAATTGTTCAAAAAATCAATTTTTCCATTACTGTTAAAAGGTTATCCGATCCAAAATTTCGAATATCCGAAAATTTTCGGATCGGAGACGGATATCAAATAATTGATATTTCGGATATTCGATCCGTGCTCAGCCCTACCCATTTATGCAAGGACCCTTCTCAAAACAAATAAAATGACTTGCAACTAGTTACTCTTCCTCTCCATCCCATTCTCCTTCCTCTGTCCACCTTACATGACCACCCCTACTCCACCTAATCCACCAACCACCATACCCATCACCCAACTTCTCTCTCCTCTTCTACTTCCTCTTAATTAAGTCAATTCAAGCTAAAGTTCATCACCACCTCTCAACTTCTCCCTCCTAATGTGCTTTTATAAGTGAGGTCAACCCCATCAATACACCACCACCATTCCAAATAGCCACCACCAAAACCCATCAATTTTTTCCTCCAGTAGGTTGGCATTCCCAAAGGGTTTTTTTTTTTCATTTTATTTGATCATTTTAGTCAATATATAACTTTTTTTTGCATATTTTTACCATAACTATACATAATTCTTCTTTTATACATTTCAGGAAATTTTGACTTTTGCTACCACTAAAATACAACACTTTGATTTCTGCTACCCATTAAAAAATTTATTTTATTTTATTTTATTTTAGTACCATCAAAAACCAAAAAAAAAGGTTTTGCTACCAGTTAACATATTATGTTACTATTTCCGTTTTAAGGGGCACACTCAATTATCTTCCTTACATTGTCTTCCTCTCTCTCCCCGAACTTAGTCATAAACCCCCACCCCTTCACACAACCCAGCAACTCCATCAAACCCCTACCTCTTCTGCGGCAACCCCCACCCATAATCATCCGCACTCCCACCGGCGAAATGCATTCGACCTTCTTATCGTCATCAGCATTATCTTCTTTAACATCACCTTTAAGATTATTTTGATTAATTACAAATCCTAACACTTTATTCTTCACATATCCTCCAATCTCATTAGCTTCTTCCACTATAGAAATCCACAAATTATTTTCTTTTCTCCATATTTCCAATTACACTACCCCCGATTTTGCAAATTACAATTGCCCATGTGCTTAGTTAAAAATCTTCAGAGTATTTTTAAAAAAGAGCAATGACTCAATAGAAAATATGGCAAAATTCGAGGTAAGAAGCATATTATGCAGCATTAAATCCTAGAGTTAAGCAAAAACTTCCTCAAATAACCAAATAGATAAGATATCATCTCCCTTTGAATTTTGCTAACAACCCCATCATCTAATTCTTCATCTAAAACCAATCCCTTGCTTTTCAAACCTGATTTTGAAACTCTTTAATTATATACAAAGTCAAACAACACAAATTATTAATGTGATTATCTTTCATATGCTCTTCAAGATCCCAAATCACTCTTTCCTTTTGCTTTATTTTCAGCATTCTTAGAGGAGGAAGCTCAATTTTGCTCGCTCTTTGAGCAATGCAATCCCATCACGGCTTCTCTCATGGGCCAATTTGGTGCTTCGAGTCGAATACCCAAAATAGAAGTATAGAACATCCACCTGAGAATCCGAGTGTCAAAACGATGTCGTAGTTGAAGAGGATGACCATTGGTAGGCGGGCATATTGAACTTTTCTTCTGGAGAAGAGGTGGGGATTACAAGGTTTATGACTATGACTAAATTCGGGAAAAGAGAAGAAGAAAATGTAAAGAAGTCAATTATGGGCCCCACAAAAAGGAAATAGTAACGGAATCTGTTAACTAGTAGCAAAACCTATATTTTTTTGTTCTGAATAGTGGTAAAATAAAATAAAATTTAAATGGGTATGAAAAGTAAAAGTGGTGTAGTGGTAGCAAAAGTAAAAAATTTCCTACATTTAATGTTGTTTCAATTACACAATTCTGTAGTACTAAGAATTTTTGTGGGAAACTTTAGTGAGTAATTTTGTAAAATTGACAGTTGGATTTTGCGATTTTTTTTTAATAAAGGAATGCAATCCTTTTACCACTTCAGAACACGCCAAAATATGAAAATTCCCCATCTACGGAGTTAAGAAGATCTAATCCTTGAAATCTTGCTTCATATGCACACAAAATCGTTAAGAAGGCTCAAATGTGTCTCCAGAAGCTGAATTTCCTAACACCAGACCCCAAATTCGCTATATCTCATCTTTTTTTCTGTACTCTGCCACTAATCCACTCTTAACCATTGCCATGCTATCTTAGCGTTGTTTCAATCACACGGTTCTGTAGTGCTAAGACTTTTTGTGGTAAAGTTTAGTGGGTAATTGTGTAAAATTGGTGTTCTTGACCATTTTGTGTTTTTTTTTTTTTTTTTTTTTTTTTTTATAGAGGAATGCAATCCTTAATCCACAACGGAATACATCAAATTATGAAAATTCCCCATTTAGGGAGTTAACAGAAGATCTAATCCTTGAAATCTTGCTTCATATGCCCGCAAAATTGTTAGGAAGGCTCAAATGTGTCTCCAAAAGCTGAATTTCCTAACCTCGGACCCCAAATTCGCTATATCTCATCTCGTTTTTCTGCCACTAATGACTAATCCACTCTTATCCATTACTATGCTATCTTAGATTCTTAGCACAGATCAAATGTAGATGTTATGCCGAAATCATTGAGACAATTTGACGATGCCAACACTTTAGAGGGTTGTTACTTTTTCATATTGTATCATGTAATGGCCTTGAATAAGAGGAGGTCAGTGAAGTAGTATGGTCGATGGGAAGTTGATGAGATGGACGGCAATTGTGACAGCAGTGGGCAGTGACGGCAGTGGTTATTGTGAACAAATGCAGTGAGGGGATATTAGGGAGGAAGTATAGATAAATTTTTTAAAAGGGAAATAAATAAAAAAAATAAAAATAGATATTCAAACTTGACTAACCAACCTTTTTGACCTTTTTAACAGGTAAACAATATAAGAAAACTATTTTGAGAAGGGCCCTTACATGGATAGGTTTATTTTGAATTAAAATATAGTTGGCATTAAAATGAGAATAACCCCAATGATTGTTCTTGTTAATTTTTTCAAAAAAATTTCAAATACTTTTAAGTTAAGATTAGGCAACCAAATCATTCGCCATGACACTCAAATTCTAATAAACGTATCACACTCTACAAGTAATAAGAAAGACAATAATGAGACACAAATTATATGGAGTATTGAAACAGTTAGATAGAGATATTAGACATCGAAATGCAATATATACCCCCCCCCCAAAACCCTAGTTTTCAAAAACCTACAAGCATCCTGGTTCTGTGGCATGAAATCCCAATAAGGTAGGCAAATGCAATGACTTATTCTCCTGCCAAATTGGGCACATATACCATGTACATTTCCAGATTATGCCGTGTCAAGATAGGTTTGAAGGGAGAAGGGATTGGGTCTAAGTATCCAAGTCATATTTATCAGCTGATGGCCTGATATTACTTGCCAAAATAATTTAAATAAAAGTGAAGTAATCATTATGTCATTGATCAAAAAACACTTCTTATTTTGGTTATGGGACTTTTTTAAGAAAAAATTGTGAACAGCTACTTATAACTCGTCCACCATTGGAAAAACTTAACTACCTAATAAGTTTGTTTATTTTTCCAACATTCAAACTTTATGCTTATTCTTAGAGTAAACACTACCTATTAGATGGTTTTTAAGGTTTTTTTTTTTTTTTCCCAAAAGTGGAGAGTTTTTAGGTAGTTAACTGAAAATTTTCATTCCAAATTCAATATAACTTTATTTTTTTAAAAAAAAAAACGCATTCTTCAAGAACCAAACCAATCAATACAGTTTCAGAGTGATGGAAAAGCAATATTGGCATATACAAACAAACTAACCTGAACAGTATCCAGAATTGCTTTCTTCACATCTTCAAGCCCACCAACATCTTCCCATTTAATATTCGGAACCTGTGAAAGAATGATAGTTGTAAAGAAGAAACCAAAAGCTAATTTACCACGAACAATGAGTAAGTTTTTACTATAAGTAGCATACACAGAACTTATAGCAAGGATATGTATGGAAGGTTCCACTTGCAAACTGCTAAGCATTAGAAGGCTATAAGAAGAAAACTCCCCTAATATTATTGTTACACTTTCAACTTTGATATGTGTTAATTTCTTCTACTATTTTAAAATAAAAACAATGTCCACATGGTAGCTGCTGCTATCAGCCAGGTACTACATGGAAGTCAAACCTAGGTAACCACCTTGAGTAGTTAAGACTCACATAGTGGCTTGTTTTTGATAGATTTTAATGGCAGTTAAAACATAAAGAGTACAACTTGAAGTAATGGAAGCAATAATTAATAATGTAAGGAAAGTAATACAGTTTTGTGCGTGTGTGTGTGTGTCTTTACACACACACACACACACAATCACAATAAGATAGGTAGAGTATAAAGTGATAGAGATAAAATAAAAGAGAAGAGCACAAGATAACAAGAGTATACCGCAGGTTGCTGAAAGTTGACATACACAACATAATTAATGCCCAAATGAGGATGGGATAGCACAACTAGACTATTGACACATAAGGGTGCCAAGCCCCAACTGACCCTTGATCAATCCGGAGTCAAAACACTTGGACCATGACAATAAGGCACCCTTGTTAGAAAATTGCTACACTAATCCTCAAAGATTGTAAGTTACCATAATAGAACATGTCCTTGCTGAGCTTTAGATGAACTGCTTGATCCTTTCTCTCAACTCTTGTCAAATGACTCAAATCTACCATATACTCTAGTCTCTTCATAAGCACATTTGGATACCTTAAGATGCCCAACCCAATTATATCTTCTCTCTCGCATCTTGTCCCAAACAAAATGCCAATCCCACCACATATTAAGTCACTTCATTCTTAATGACATTTGTTCATGGTACCTTATATGGTGGGGAAAATCCTCATTAACAGTACCAACTTGAGATTCTGACTTTTGGCTTTGGCTAGTCCTATCAGTAGGCTGCATCTATGTGAATGCCTAAGCCTTAAGGTAAATGACACCCAAATCAGGAGATGGGAAAAGGTAATTTAGAAAGGAAATCCGAGAAGAATCCAAAGGTGAAAGCAATAACTAATCGAAGAAGAAGGATTGCACTGAAAGGCATAACTGCATATGGGATTACTTCTTCCACTAACACCACCACTACTTCATCACTATTTCTACTCTTTTTCAAGTTGCAAATATGACTATTACCTTTTGACTAAAATAAATTCCAGTTTTACTATACTTCAGTACCTCTAAATCTTTTTGTTTTAATTCTATAACAGATAAAAAATAAAAAATAAAAATAAAAAAAAGAAGACAAGACTGAATTTTTCTTTGTTTTGTGGGTCTTCTAAAAAGTCTCTCTTGAGTTCTTTATCTGCTTGGGGGTAAGGTTGCATACATTAGAACCTTCTGAGATCTTTGCCTTGGTAGGAAAAACATTAGTTGTTATTGGTTTATGATAAAGCTGTCTGTTTACTGTACATTTTTACAAGTACCATCTCCCAAGTTAAAAATATAAGGCTGTGATGTAAATAATACGTAGTATATGGTTTCAAACTGTACAGAAGTGAAGCTAATCATTCCAGCAACATAAATAAATATTTCCTGAGTTGCTCCACAGTACTCCATGCTCTATTTCCACCACTCATACATTAATACAATCTAACCATCTAGGATGGACAAAGCCAACATAACTAAAAAAACTGAGCTTATAGAATCCCAAATTTAATGTAGCGCCGCCACTAAAGTAGCATCAACTACTTGTTGGTACTGACATGGATGCCCCTCCAACGTTGGGATATGCATGCAAGCTATACCCAGAAAAGGGTTTAACTATATGGTCATAAGCTCATAACATAAGAAATAGCTACAGTACACATTAGCAAAAACCAAAAAAAAAAAAAGGTTATCGACAAATATAGTCATTAATGCAAACAGGTACCTTCGGCGCGCCTAATGCAGATGCATTCCTCTTTTTCGAGCGCTCTAAAGCTTTTGACAAGTCTTCTTTCCCTGAATTCTGATTATTATTCTCTCCAACAGGTTTAGATAGCAATTTATTCTCAACTGTCTTCTCAGGTTCACTTAGGAAAAGATCTTTGGGGATCACACTGGCTCCAGCATCAGCAATTAGTGAACGTAAATCCCTGGGTGTATAACCTGATGTCTGAGCAACTAAATCCTTCACAACATGCTCTAAGCCACCCTGCGGCAGCCAATACAGTCAACATATTAATTCAACAGCTTTAACAGCCAACAATTGAACACAACAGCATCATTTATAGAATGTCAAACCAGAGAGTAAGCCAAAAATAAGTTATGTTGCTAATAACATCCTATATAATAGATAAGTGCCTAATTAACAGTCTTCATGACATCCCTCCTATATATCACAGTACTGAGTTTCAGAAGAGATTATCAAAATTGATAATTTTCAGGTGCAACTGCCAACAAAAGATTTGTCCTTTAATGACTGTATTATGTGGTACAAGGATACATGAGTTTGATCCTCACCCTTTCTTCACTGAAAAGTGGCAGCTGTTTGTTGGCTTAGACCTTTTTTATTTAAAATGGGAATTTTGAACTTATCAAGTTAATGTATGTCAACTTTGATCTTGGAAGAACTTCAGAATGTACTATAAGCTATATTCTCTTAGCCTGAAATAAGGTGTTTTGGTATGATTTTTTTTTTTTAGGTCCAAAATGTCTAGTTAAAAACTTCTAGTCTAGTATGGTCTGATCTTCTCACTATGTTTGACTAAATTCTGACCACATTTGTTAGCTAATAAATAGTGCTTTTTTTTTAATCACACCATTTGGTATGGGCATAAGATTCAAGAAAAAGAGTAAAGGTTGGGAATGTCAAATTTGACTATGTGATACAAACAAATAAGAGAGGAAAATTGGGGTAATTGTGGTTGTTAATTTGTTAGCTCGTGTGAACAAGGGTAGTTAGGGTATTTTGTGTGTGAAAGTTAGGGTATTTTGTGTGTGAACACAAGCAAAAAGTGAATGGAGTATTTTGAAATTGTGAAATTCTGCAATTAATATGCAGCTTTCCAAAAAAATAAATGGTGCAATTAAAAAAAAATTAAGTAATAAAAATTGAAAGAAAAAACATTATGAACTAGGATCTTGTTAGATCTATCTTAATGTTTATTCTATTTTCTAAGTATCTAATTTTCATAATTTCTTAATAAGAAATTCCAGATATTTGACAATAACCAATTGCAGATATGATCTGTTCTGGTGTGATGAGTAGATGAGATGTGGTCTAGTTATAATAACAAGTAAAAAGTTCTTGAGATTAATGTATAAAAATTTCAAGACGCAATAAAGCGATAAAGATCCTGCTGCCCCTTTTCCACGATTCAGTGCACCTCTTTAAGTGAGACGCATTGTACAGATGCGCCTCATGTGTGCATCGTGATTCGTGAGCCTCTGGTGTGCCTCATGTGTGCCTTGTGCGCCTCTGATGTGCCTCATGTGCCTCTTTATATGTGCCTTACCTATTGTGAAAAAAGCTCTACCCTAATCACCTAGCGCCTCAATGACTAGGCACACCTTAAGCACACTTTGAATACACTGCTTGAGATAAGGTGAAGGAGCATTTCTATGGCTACATTTGAGTGCTTTGGTTGGAGCATAATAATCACATCTTTAGTAATAAGGCTAATGGGGGCGGTGTCATAGGATTGTGTTTCTTTTAGCTTCTTTGTAGTCTATAGTGAAAGACTTTAAGGTGTTTTATCTAATACTTTGTTGTCAGCCGTCTAGTGTGATTATCGCGCTTTCTCATTACTAGTCCTCCATTTGACTTTGTACTCGTAATGTTTACCTTCGTCTCTATAGAAAATCTTTCTATCTAATAAATTATTTCAAAAAGCCCTCCACCAATGCCACCACTTAGCCTTTGAAGATGTTGAGTTTTCCTTGATATGAGGTGTATGGAATCAGATGACCTGAATGCAGAAAGAATAAGAGATTCATAGCCAGAAGTTTCTCACTTTCCATTCCCCCTAACCCTTTTATCATACATTCACCTTCCACGTTTTATATCTTTTTCTTTAATGAGATCTCTGCAGGTTTACTCCTCCCAAATTTAAGTCAAATTAAAGTCAAAAGGAGGTGAGAAAGTGAACCATGCAAAGGGGTGAGAGGACAGAGAGAAATCTGGCATCTGCATGTATGCAACAAAATTAACAGCTAAGAGATGAACCTTTACTACTTGTTATACGTTGAATCAATCTTATGAAGAGTAGAGATAATAAAAAAAATTAAAAAAAAAAAAATTATGAACATGAAACATACATCAGCAGAGATTTCAGGAATGCTTTGCAATGATTTGGTTAGCATTTTAGCTCTTTCTTCTTCAGTCAAAGGCTCCAGATTAAGCTCATGGCTAAAGCAGCGTCTTACAGTAGGTGGCAGGCCTTCCGTACTCTCAGTTACTGCAATCAACAAGACCCGGGGTCGCCTTATTCTTTCAGCACTCTGCAACTGCAGCATCAGCAAGTTACAAACAGATCACAAAACAGACATACTTCACAAAGCAGAAGAAACACTGACACATAACATGACAAGCTTGGTTATGTATGGGACTAATCCGATTCAGGTTTAACTCAGAAGCCCATAGAACTGGCCCAGGGCAAAGACAAGAGCAGTTGAGAGCCAAAGTTGGTCCATGAAGAACAAGATCAGATCAAACCAGCCTGATGGCGAATTGGCTTAGGCTTGTAAGAAATGTCCCCTATCCATTTTCATTAAATATACATTTGGTTACACCAAATACAGTGTACAACAACACGCCACGGTTTCAGATGTCATCAATTGAAGGAAAGGCATAGCAGGGACTATATAAGACTTATTTACACTTGGATAGTTGTATAACAGTAGAAATAGAAGAGAATAAAGTAAACAGCTTCAATTTTAAATTCATTGGTAATTGGAAGTACTTCTAGTTGATGGCTGTGAAATAATTTACTATAAGCTGATGACATCACGACAATTCAGGTTCACTATATTCAATCTGAATGCAAGGAAACATTTGCAGAAAGTAGAATTAGGAAGGTCAGCAATGTTAAGGGAGGAAAGTCATCTCTAAAAGCACCGGAGAAAGAATGCAGAAGACTCGCATGTCTAGTAATTAATGATGTGTGGTCTATGATTTTTGGCTCTTAATGTGGGATAAACAGAGCAACAGCAATTGATGAAAGATTGTGGAGGATTGGTATCTAATGAAAGTCAGATGGAGTGTTAAAAGACTGAATGGAATCATTGTATCTCACATTCTGATTTCTTTACAGCAAAGAAATTTGATTGATTGCTCAACCATGGCAGGGTTCTGAAGATAATTTTAGCACAGGCATTTTGAGGTATCTAGAAAGAGATAAACACGAGAGTGTTTCACTGTTTCAGCAAAGAAAAAGGTCTGTTGAAAGCATATTGATGTATATTGCAGAGGTTATGTTGTAGTTAAGAAAATAATCAGAAAACGACACATGTACCTTGAATGAAAACCTGGGCCTCTATAATAGATTCATGTAGTATTTTGATATATTTCTAAGGGATATCAGTGTGTTGATTTCAAAAAGTTATATTCTGGGTTTGCACATGTGATGGTATAACCTGGGCTTTTCATTTGATGTGGATAATCCTGCAGCTTTTGTATCCTAGGCATTGCATAGTTGCATACTACGGTACTAACCTAGCAACCCTTCCTAAAAGCTGTAAAAGGTGGGCAAGTGCAATCCACTTATGCAGTAAAGGCTACAGTCTCCTATAGCAATGCAATGATTAGGTTATGCATCTTCTAGGAGGCCAATTCAAGCTAAATATGCAAGGTGCAATCAGCTATATGGATTTACTTTACATTTTAAGCTAAGAAAAAGAGACGAAAAAAAAAATCCAGGGGGTGTTTGGCCAAGCTTCTAGAGCTGTTTCTCTAAGTTACCAATAGAAGCTAGGCCAAACAGGAGTAAAATGAGAGAAGCAGAATACCAAAACCATTTTTCACAGCTCTAGAAACAAAATCTCCAGATTGAAGCTTCTCAAACTGTTTCTCAGGGAGTTGTGGAATTCATAAGAAGTTTTTTACACAGAGACTATATTAACCCCAATTAAAAAAAAAAAAAAAAAAAAAAAAAACAAAACAAAAAAAAAAACAGAATGGCCCCAAATAATAAAAAACTACATATGTCTCTCTTCATATACAAATCTGTGCTTTCTCTCTCCTCCATGGCGAACCACCATGAGACCATCATTAATAAGCTTCTGGCCACCTTTCATCTTCTCCAATAGACATTCTAATATCATAAAGCAGCAATCTTGGTCTTTTGGAAACTCATATTTGCAATTCACATACAGAAGAAAACTTTGATCCCATTTTATTAGAATTTCCCACAAATTTATTGTTTCTGACAAAATTTGACGATCAAATTTCAGTTTGATGATGAAGATTAGATTATCAATTGAATTTTTATTTTATATAGCTACTGTTTTATGCTTGGTGTTGGTAAATAAAAGAGTCACGTTGGGTAGTTCGGTATATACAGAAACTGATAGGAAGGCTAGATACAAAGAGTGGAAGAAAGAGGATGACAAAGGGAAAAAAAAAAGGGGGGGGGGGGGGGGGGGGAGGAAAAGACAGTCAACTCTTGGAATCTGAATTCCATGGTAAAATCAATCTTGTGCGCTACTTTCTTAATCCGATGGTCCACAATACTTCTCTCCCTCTAATTTAAATGGTCCATAATACTTCTCTCCCTCTAAATTAATTTGTAGAGTAAATAATGGCCAAACAGAGTAAAATTGTTTCTGTTCTATGAAGTACTTCTACAATTAGGTGGCCATACATATCTGTTTCTTAAAAGTATTTCTAAAGAAACAGTTTCTACAAAACTAGGAAAGAAAATTTTTGTAGAAGCATGGCCAGACAAACCCTTAAGCATTTTTGGCATTACATGTTCAATGCCTAATTAGATGGGCTGTTAGGACTCTAGGGAGCAAGTCAGTTGCTCAACTAAAAAATTAAATTTGGAAAAAATGAGGCAAAAAAGGGGTTCTTCTCTGACAAAAGTTCTTAACACCTTATTATTCTGCTCCAAGAAACAATTTTGTTGTGATTTAGACAAATGATCCAACAATACATTGCATTGATTAAAATTGAAGTGGAAATTTTATAAAGCAAGAAAGAATTATATTAATCCTTTTCTTCCTTTCGACACGTAGGCTATTTGGATTAATCGCAATCAAATATTATGGTTTCACTAATAGTTTTTACTAGGCCAAAAACTGAGGGCCAGGTGATTCTCAATTTCTAGAGCTGAAAAGGAAATTGATCACAAACTACCTTCTACATCAGCAACTCATATATAATACAATAAACAGAAATATTCCCCGATCAGAGAAACTTTTACTTACTGGGATACCGTTCAATTTCTCCTCTAAAGGTACATCCTCAACCTTGACAACCGGCTGTGTGAATTTCCTTATAACAGACGCCACCTCAGAAATAATACCAATGTGATCAGATTGCAAACCCTCATTGGATGCCCAATTGCGGAGGGCATCAAAATGCTGCAGTAACAATATAGCTGGAGAGTATCTGCAAAAAGATCCAAATTTTGCAAAAATTAACTCAAGACATCAGATGTATCCCTGCTCTCCCATATAAAACAACCTCAAGCCGATAATATGGGGAAATGAAATATAAATCTTCAAGCCTTTATCACAGAAAATAGATATAAAAAAAAGAGCTTGTGTCATGAAACGTTAAGAAAAGTGAAGGATCAAAATTCAACTCATTTACTGAACTTTTGGAAAGTATTTACCAACTTTTAATCAGAGAATACATAGTAAATTCTAATGAAATGAACTTACAAATTCATATCTACGCCCAAAATAAAGTATGGCGCCTAGTTTATATTTCAGTTGCAGATACCGGCAGAAATACTAGTCAATAACAATGTAACAGAAGATAACAAAGTAGACTGAATCATGCCACAGTTTCAACCTTAGGAATACCTATGAGCTGTACTGAAGGCCTGAGTTAGTAATGACGACGCTTTTTTCTCAGACCCTTCCATCAAAGCATTACAGCTGTACTCTACCACATGCAGACCAAGTCGGCGAGCAACATATTTGACAACAGTCTTCTTTCCAGATCCTGCAATTGCAACAGAATAAGCTCCCAGCAATATTTTGTAACATGGTCCTAGGTGGAATTGGAATTAAAATTCCATCACAAATCTGGTCCATATACATCAATATACTTGATAATATCAAATATTCACTTGCATATCAAACACAGAATTACTGCTTCCTCAAACTAAAATAATATATTAATTTATTTACTGCAACAAGGGCCATACTTTTTAAATAAAGAGAAAAAATAATTTTACTGAAAAGAATTTTGTTGAAAATAGATCACTGCCAATTGGTACAGAAAGTCATGAAAAATGCATTCATTGACGTCTAACATCTCCTTGAGCAGTGATCTCACAATAGGGATTGATGAATATGCCACTTTATAACTCCATGCTATAGTCCTTTAAGAATCATGTCAAATATAGAGTATTATAGATTTTACTGTATAAATTTGCTTTGGTATTGCAAAGTGACCTATAATGGTAAAATGATTTTGTGAGATGCAAATTAAAATTCCATTGGTACAGTAAAACAACTTATACATTGGACCAGGAGTAAGCTAAAACAGCTTATAATTTTATTGTATATGATGTTATAATTAACAGATTGGACGCAAGTAGTTACAATTATTGTACAATCAAGCATTAACTAAAGGAACGACATGATTTTGTCATAATTTCTCAACTTAATAAGATGTATAAGATATACTTCCTTTATTTTTATTTAGATTAAACATTTTGATTTTTCAACCTTACCAATACATATCTTTTAATTATTAATATTTTCAATCATCAATATGTAATAATTATAAAATTTGATATTTGAAAAGTACAAATTGAAACGAACCTAATAAGACCTTACATTTCCTTACTAATACCCCAAAAAAAAATCAAAATAAACAATGGTGTGTGAATAGTGTAAATTACAAATAGTTAATCCAAAAAGAAACAGAAGTAAATCCTCTTGATAACAATATTGTGCATTGATTGGAATTTATTTTATTGACATAAAACCTGAATCGATTTCTCAATTGCTCAAAATCAATTATCATACACATTCCCTTCTCGAACTCAAAGACCACAGCTTTGTTTATCGCATTTCTGTCTCCCCAACTACCCATTTTTTTCACCTTAGATTAGTGCCATGAAAGTCTTAATCAAAGCATTGTAGCATCGTGACCCAAAATTCTATGTTATATGAGGTCTTTGAGTGGAGGTTACCTTAGGAATGGGTGCAAACATAAGGGTAGTTTAAAATAAATATTTTTTTTTAAAAAAAAAAGGCCTATAACACAGGGTCATATGATAGAAGATCCCAAATTTTTATTAAGTTGGTGAAGGGGGGATAAAAATGCAACCATATTGATGATTGCATACATACAATAGAATTTTATGAGATAAAGAAGATGATAGACCTGCCAAACCATGCAGTAGGACAGAGACACTGAATTTGGATGAAAGTACAGATGGACATAGAGATGGAGTAAGGATGCAACCCAGGGCCTTTATAGTATTTTTCTGTAAAGGAGCAATTCCAGCAGGCTCGGCGATCAACATATCTGGGGGGAAAGCAGCAGCAGCACTTCCACCAAGAACAAGAGCTGTGTGTTTACGGTTAACACGAAGAATAGGTTCCTCTGGAGGATCCAAGGCAACAACCTATGACATAAAGATCCAACTCAGTGTTACTTTTGACTCTGTCACATCTTCAATTTACTTGAACTAGAGGCCTCAATAAAGACAGGGGTTCACCTTGAAATAAATAATATCACCTCCATCATTCTTCTTTCTCAGGCTACAACTGACACACAGGATCGAATTGCAACTCCAGTCAATTTTTATACTGAACAAATCATCTTTAGCAAGATATCTATCAATATTAAAATATTCTTGTAATGCCAAATCAATCATTTCTTGACGATCCACAGCTTCAATGGGAGACTTTCCTCTAAGAGATTCAATGGTACCACACTCGGGTATCTTCAAAAAAGATATTCTTAAATGTGATGCATATCGCGGCACATGGGGCCAAGGCTCCAGCCTCAAATTGACAAAACAATTCTCGAGCCCTGGTCCACTTTTCTCTGCACACTCATCAACATCAAATATAGTTGCTAGAGACTCCTTTCCATTGCGAAGAAGAGAAGTCAAGCACGAAGTATGAAGGTCCACATTAAATGCCAGAAGAGGTGAGAGATAGGCAACATTCTTTCTCAAAGGCTGGAGGTAGCTTTGGTGGAAAGTCAATGATGGTAATATAAGCATTGTCTCAGAGGCACAAGTGCCTTCTCCGGCATCAGGCAAAACTTCATCCTCAGAAAGAGGGGGATCTAGAACTACAACTTGGCCAATTCTTCGAGCATTGGTCTCAATATTCTGGATAATCACCTATTTTTAACCAAAAACACATTGGTACATCACCAACAACCAACCTTAATAATTCACAATTACAGCAAAATCTTAATGACTAGGCCAGAACACATCCATCCATCTACACATTTCATTCCAAATTCTTTAATGTGTTAGTTTTACTAGTGAGCTTAATAGCATTTTCGACGCGCTACCAAACCAACCATTCAAGGGGTTATTCAAAAGTCCAATGCATAACTCAAAACTAAAACTTTCCCACAATTTGCAATCTAACTCTTCAAATAACTATCTAGGAATTTCTTTGATTTACCAATATGATAATAAATTAAAACCATAAAAATTCACAATAAAATATAAAAAAAAAAAAAAATTAACCCCAGAAATCAAAACTAAGAGGAACATATACCAGAGAGCCTGAAGTGATGGCAAGACGTTTAAGGTCAGCAAGAGAGAGACCAACAAGGGAAGAATCATCAAGAGAAGCAATTCTGGGTGGAATTCCAATTTTATCCTTGTGAAACCGAAGAATTCCAGCTTGTAGCTGAAGAGATGTAGGGAAAGCGAGGGCATTATCGTCAACCTTGGCATCTCCTGCGCTACTGGTTGCGGAGGTGGGATTTTGAAGGACGGAGTTGAGAAGGGCTTTGGTGGAAGCAAGCACCAATGGCTTCCTTCTTTCCACCATTAGAGATGTTTGTTAGTGTGTTTCAATTAATGAATGTTTGTTTTTCTGGTTTTGTCAACAACACTGGTTTTGTACAGAGAGAGACTGGGAAGTTGGGAATAGCTGGTTTGGTGTTGCGTGGTGCGGACTGGGGTCAGATAGTATGGTTTGAGCCATGATCGCGGATTATTGACCCCGTAAAGGATACTCGAGTCGAAGAGGGTGCGTCTTGCTAGATAAGCTACAAATAATGCAACAAAACAATGTGAAATTATTCTAAACTTAGCATATTAAAAACAAAAAACACGTCATGATTGATCATCCTTGAAACTCGCATAATCAATCTCATCACCAAACGACAATTGTATGCACTCCTTCACCCTAATTTGTTGATCAATTTAATCTCTTGAAAGTGAATTGTATTGGATCAAGGGATATCACTTATGCAACAAAACAAGTGAAACGCTAAATATCGCCCGCAATTTACCATATAAAGCCCACAAATATGATATGATTTGACCATTATGCCCTTTTTCTAAAATTGAAATAATCTCGGTGTAAAAAATGTGGAGCCGTACTGGCTCGCCGGGGGAGACCGGATGGCAGGCCGGAGATGCGGGGGACGCCGGAGGTACGTCGTCGTCGACGGAAAACGAGGTAAGTCACCGTTAAAATTCACGGTTTACCGTCGGAGTGGCTCCGGCGCCTAGGGTGGACGCCCAAACCGTAGCCTGGACGTCCAAGCCGGACGCCAGAACCACCAGAGTGGCGTCCAGCCCAGACGCCCAGACCACCAGACTGGCGTCCTGGGCAGACGCCACTCCACTGGGTGAGGCGGCCCTGCCAGGCGCCAGTCCAGTGGTTGTGGCAGCCCTGGCAGACGCCACCTTTAATAATTAAATTTTTTTTTTCTTTTTTGATTTTGTTGTTGTTTTTTATTTAATTTTATTGTAAAAAAAAAATCGAAAATGATTTTTTAAAAAAATTCGAAATGGGTTTTTTGTAAATTAAATTTGAAAATTCGAAATAGGTTTTTTTAAAATTAAATTTGAAAATTCGAAATGGTATATTTTTAAATTTAGTTTGAAAATTCGAATTGGGTTTTTATAAAAATTAAGTTTGATTATATATAATTATGTTTTTTTTTTGTGTTAATTCTGTGGAAATATAGAAATTAAATGTATTATCCGTTAAATGTATTTATTGTAATATATAATTGATGCAGGAATATGGTGGAGACGGAAATGATTACAGTGGGATATTTGGACATGATGGTCCATTCGAAGAAGCTCAACAGGCGATTGATTGGGCAAAACAGGTTGCAATTGCAGCTGGATTTTGCTTGGTAGTAGCAACTCATAAATCTCAACGGGATGGTAGAATGGATCGCATTTTGAGATGTGACCGTTATCGCAAAAGAGAAGAAAGAGATTTTCGTACAGCCACTCGGTTTGACACAAAGCGGAAAGGTTGTGGGTGTGAGTTCAGAGTAAAGGTTCGACAACTACGGAGTCGTGACGGTTGGGAAGTGATAGGTTACTCTAAATGGGGGTATCACAACCATGAGATGATAGTATATGAAGAGGGTCATCGACAATTGAGCGGCTTAAGTCCTGCTGCGAAACTAGCTGTGAAAGAAATGAGTGATGCTCAAGTGAAGCCTGCTAAAATATTAGCATCTGTGTTAGAGAAATTTCCAGAAGACCATCCAAACCGAAGACACATCTACAACGTCAGACAGCAACTCAGGTTTGAACGGTCAGAGGGAAGGAACCCTATACAGCAGCTGCTACACCAGGCACAATCACGTGGTTACCTGTTCTGGTTTGATTCTGATGAAGATACAAGCGGAGGTGACTCATCTTTTCCTTGTGCATCCTGATTGTGCTGATATGATCAAGTCTTGGCCATGTGTGATTTTGATCGACTCAACGTACAAGACAAACAAGTACAAGTTCCCTCTGGTTGAGATGGTTGGGATGGCTCCAACGAACCAGAACTTTCTGATTGGTCATGCAATCATCAGGGATGAGACGGCTCCAAGTTATTATTGGGTGTTGGAGAAGCTGAGAAACTACATCGAGCCTAATGTTCATCCAGCAGCCATCGTCAGCGACTGTGAGGGAGGTCTCTTTGCCCCCATAGCAGAGCTGTTTCCCGAATCGAACCACTTATTGTGCACATGGCACATCAACAACTGCGTGAAAGTGAAAGCCTACAACCTTTTCAAGAAGAATTTGGAAATGGCAGAGAGATTGGTGAATGGTAAGTGGCGGAAGATCCTACAGGCTACCACAGAGGAAGCGTATGAGCGAGCATTGGCTAACTTCAGGGATTCGTACCAGTGGTGTCCGGCACTGGTGGACTATGTGATGCATCAATGGGTCCCTCACAGGGAAAAGTTTGTCAAATATTGGACAAACCAGGTACTTCATTTTGGGAACACTACAACATGTAGAGTTGAGAGCGCTCATAGAGCTACCAAGGACTGGATTGATTCATCGACCGCTGCTTTGGATACACTGTTCGCTAGACTGAACAAGTCAATTGAAACTCAGAAGAACGACATCAGGAACTCTCTAGAGGACTCCAGACGACGACATGGTACGATGTATAGCCATTTTATATTTAAGATTCTCCAAGGTCGTGTGTCGCACTACTGCTTGGGGTTGATTCTCACTGAGTTGAACAGGGTGAGGGACTTGGCTGACGAAGTGTATACTCGGTGTGGGTGTACTATTTCAGTAACTCATGGATTACCTTGCGCATGCACCATTCACCGCGTTATTACAGAAGAAAGGGCGTCGTTACATGTTGATCAGGTCCATTCATTCTGGAGGACGCTTGTTATTGGTGAGCATGCAGACAATCAAACGGTCGACCGTGAACAGGAGGAGTTGGAGCAGTTCCGTTCGATGTACGACCGAGTGTCCTCCAGCCATCCTTCTATTATTCGTGACGCTACTCATGTACTTCATGACATGTTCCACCCGTCTAACTTAGATTATGAGGAACCCGAAGGAGTTGACCGTCCTCGAGGTCGACAACGGCGGAACAGGAGTGCGTTTGAGTATATCCGTGGTCTTGGTCGTGGTCGTTCTCGTGGTCGGACATCGTCATCTAGTCGTAGTCAATCTTCATCGTCTGTGAATATGCCCCTGAGAACTGGTACGTTTTGGTTGTTTTTATTGCACATAGTTTTAAAGTGTTACTCCTGCCTTCTTAACTGTCTATAATTAATTATATGGTGAATAGGAAGAAACGATGTTGATCAGTTTCCGTACAAGGAAAGGATACCTGCGATCATCATGTCGTACTTGGAAGGGTGGAATGATGTAATCGGAGATGGTAACTGCGGATTCCGGGTCGTGGCTGATGTTTTTCAAATGGGCGAAGACAACTACGGTTTGGTGCGTGAGTTGATGTACAGCGAAATTGCCTCTAACCGAAATGTTTATCGTCATGTGTACCAGGATGACTTGGATGGCGCTCTGCGGCGTATCCGGTGGGGAGGTGGACCTTGCGGCGAAAATCATTATTTTGACGCGCCCCTAGATCTGTTTGCCGTTGCAAACATTTACAAATGCGCAGTCATGCATTTCGGCCTGGGAGTGCATAGTCAAGCTTATTATCCTTGTACCACGGTTCTCCCTTGGCGGTCGCGTGAGACTGTCACCACACCGGTCAGAGAGCTAGCTATTGCGTTTCTTGGGTCGTCATACAGACATTTCATCCGACTAGACATGTCAACCGATTTTCCGGTGCCATCGCTCAATGAAAGCCGTGATCAGCGTACTGTCAATCTTATCGTGCATGGTGGCAGGAACGTGCTTCACCCCAGTGCCCTCCAGTCGCTCGAACATCTCGCTCTCCGCCGGCCAGGCCTCAGCCCATGTACGCAAAAAGCTACAAGTCTTTTCCCGGGTATGACATTTCAACAACCCCGTAACTGAAGGCCTCTCCTGGTCCTCCCAAATACGGGCAGCTATGTGTCCTAGAAAGCTAGGAATCACACTCCCGTCAACAGGCCCACCGGGCACCTCACTCCTAACAACCCAAGAATCATTACCGGCCCTCGACCGTTTCCTGCTTGCCCCAGATACAGTGGACGCAGATGATGTGCCAGATCTACTAACAAACCTACCACCCCTACCCTTACGCACCTCCACCATATGCGTCTCGTACATGTCATCAACCCTCTGACTGAATGGACCGTAATCATCATACGGTCCACTGCCATCGTCCACATCCTCATCCTCATCTGCGCCCTCCTCCTGCTCCTCCTCCTGGTCACCCTCCTCAGCATCATCATTGTCATCGTCATCCTCATCCCGACGGTGGATCCGTTCTCTACAAACTGAGGCCGAAATACCACGGGATCTGACATGTCTATGCCCCGACCTCTCCACTGAATAACTTCTACTAAGAAGCTCTATATTCTTCCCCGCACCATGACGACCCTACACAAAATTTTAAAATATATAAACATACAAAAATTTACACGATAAATAATCATCATCGCAAATCAAATAAACTAAAAACATACAAATAATTGTAAACAAAATATAAACGTAGAAAAAATACAACGAAATTGAAAAAATTTATAAAAATAAACAACAAAATATAAAAACAATTCAAAATTATATTACAAAAAAAAATAAAAAAAAATTAAAAACAATTTTTTTAAAAAATAAAAAAAATAATAAAAAAAAAAAATTGGGGGGGGGGGCGCCCTGGCTGGACGCCCAGCCGGCGGTGGTGGCGCCAGATGCAGACGCCGCCACCAGTTGGCTGGCGCCTGGGCTGGACGCCACAGCCACGGCTGCGGCGCCTAGAATAAACGCCACAACCGTGGCTGTGGCGTCCAGCCTAGGCACCAGCCAACTGGTGGCGGCGTCTGCATCTGGCGCCACCACCGCTGGCTAGGCGTCCAGCCAGGGCGCCCCACCGCGTTCACGGCGGTTTTTCCCTTTTTTTTTTTTTTTAAACAAAATGTACCTTTCCTCCTTGGGACATCCTTCCCTCCGCCGCCGCCGCCACTTCCTTGCCTTGCCGCCTCGACATTGCCGTTATTTGAAATTTTTTTTTTTTAGAGAGGTTGAAAGAAGATGAGCAATGAGAGTGTGAGTGATGAGAGTGTGAGTGTTTTTTTTTTAAGGTCAAGGGCAATTTTGGCAAACCAAGTGAATTTTGTGGGCTTTATGTAGTAATTTGTGGGCGATGTTTAACAAATCCCCAAAACAATGGGTAGGTTCTTAACCCTACACTATACACCTATTCATCCCACATCCTTAAAAATTGTAAAATCGCATCACTAAATTAAGTGTCCTTGAGAATTGCATCATTACCACAACCCCAGGTTACATTAATTTTATAATGTCCA